TTTTAAATTATCACTAATTATTTTCCTTTATATTCCCCAGAATAAGCTGACACTCAAAAACCAGCAGTGAGTCCTTCTCAGATCTAGACTGCACACTAATTAGCTGTGCTTTATAAAAAGAAGTATCTGTATGTATGAGGTTATTGTAGAGTGTTTTTTTTTTTTATCAATGCTCTGCCGGTATAAGAGAACAAATGAGGAACTAAGATCAATAAAATTAATATTTGTGTAGAGCTTCAAAACTTATATATAAGTCTCATGGGAGTGTGGTATGGCCATTTTGTAAAGGAGGTATCGCTATTTCATTTCTTACAGTGCTGTTATAAAATAGTATAGACTTATCTGGGAGAAGACCAGTCATGTGATCAGTATATATTTGCAGTGATGTTTCTGTTTCAATGTCAAACCCTTTAGAAAAGGTATTTTTTCCAAGAAGACATAGACTACTGCGTTAAGTAAAAAAGCTTTAAAACCTTTAGTTGTAAACCATGGTTTGCAAGATCCAATGTCACAAGATGAGTGCGAAAAATTTAGGCTAGGTATAAGTTGGTAGATGATGGGTTCCATAGCAATTAGTGTATTCCTGCTTAAAGCTTTGAATACTTTAAAAATATTTAAACTCCTTGGGCCAAACAAAACATATCTGAATAAGAACTCAAACTTTGCTCCATACCAGCAGAAGATAGTATGTGGAAGAAGAAATAAAACAGAACACCGAAGCATGTGGAGATGAGATGAAAAATTATTTATGGTTTAGAGGAATCAAAACTGTAAGACTGAAATACAAATAGCAAAATTTGTAAATATTATTGATGCCCATCCAAGATCAACAGACTTCTATTTCTCTCTTTGGACATAGTTTCATTGTTGTAGTTAAAATATAGTACAGTGTTAAAGGGATGATGAGGATGGAACCCAGATTACTATCTTTAATCAGTTTCCTTATCTGTAAAATGGAGATAATAACACTGTAGCACAGAATTGCTGTGAAATTAAATGAGAACATGACAAAATCTTAGTGGAGTTCTCTTCGTGTTGTAAAAGCTAATAAATTGGTAGGTATCATTGCTATTCTCATAAGCATTGGAAAGAATCATTTCCTTACTCATTCCTTCAATTTTCCTTTAGTATATACTGAAGATCAAAATTAACTTTACCTACTGTATAATATGCCTCAGAGAGGCTTTGCTTGCCAGGGAAAAATAGTTTTTTTATTTTAGTCAAATAATATCAATAACCTCAAATGCAAATACAGATGTGTTCTTTTTCTGTAGGTTTATCAGTAATCTTAAACAGTTTCTTTCCTTAAAAATTATAAATGGCATTGAGTAAGTTACTCAGATTTTGTCTAAAAGTAGCCATACTTGTATCAACTAGGCCATTTCTTCCTAAAATGTCATTCTTAAAGTATTCAAAGCCTTTGTTTTAGCTAAAAATACATTGATTGAGTATCTACTATGTGTGGACACTATGCTCAGTTCTGGAAATGTGGGATGAAGAGAAAAAGGTCTCTGACTTCAAGTTCTGCCTTGTCTGGTGCACTGGGGAGATAAAAATGTTAGCAAATCATGTCAATAGAAAGGCAAACCAGTGTCTGAGTTCCACAGACTCTGACATGTATGTTTCCCTCTCCTATTTTTCAGAGTATTAAATACTCTGAAAAACAAGGGTGAATGAATATAGTAGGAACAGTCTGAGGCAAGAATCATGCCCATTCTTCAACCTCTGGTTTTAGCTCCAAGACCACCAGGAAGATTTCATTCTACATTGATTTTTTTACTGACTTGCAATCCCTTTAAATTTTCTGTTTCAAAGTTGCTATTTAAAATGGCTTTTAAATCATTTTGGCCCTTAATCATTTTGAATTTAGTTGTTTCCTGGGTAAATGACCTATCTACCCATTAGATGGTAGTAAACCCTTGGAGGGGCAGGATCCATATTTTTTGTACCTGCATTAATCTGGAAAACTGAATGTTTTATTGTTGTTGTAGATTAAAGATTGATTAAAAAATAGTCCACAAATAATTGATGCACTAGTTGAGACAATACATTGAAGGTATCTATTTTTTCATAAATTTTGAGAAATTTTTATGCAATTCAAACATTTATGTTAGAGGAGCAAAAATGGTAAATGTAAACCTGTATCTGTTATATATAGTAAATATTTTATATTCACTTTTAGTCAACATTTATATTTTTAGTTCTGCTATATAACTGATGGCAACAACTTGCACTTACAAGGCAACAGAATGTACACTTAATTGTCCTACAAATGAAGAGTTATAGCTAGAGAAAACTTTCAGTCATCACTCATTTGTTTTAATGCCATTTGCAAAGATGGTTAGGGTGGTAAAGTAATAATCCCTAAACTCAAAATCATCAGTTTGCATTATGTTAATTTATCATCTAAATCTGTTTCCTAAATATTGTTAGCAAAACTCAAAGAAAATAATTATGCTTATTAACATCATATTTGTTTTGTAAAAAGAGGTAAAGAACCTATAATTAGGCTGGGGTTGTGGCTCAGCAGTAGAGCACTCGCATAGCACATGTGAGGTGCTGGGTTCGATCCTCAGCACCACATAAAAATAAATGAATAAAATAAAGGTATTCGTATCCAATAACAAAAGAACCTATGGTTAACAGTGAAGAAATTACTTTTATTTGAAAATCACTAAATAATTATAAACAAGTCCCATATTATTTACTTCCAAGATTCTACCACTCTCATGTCTGATTTAATTTTCTACTTTCATTTATACTTGCCACTAGAGAAATTCTGCTTTTCATTGCTTATCACAGATTACTGCAGTAACTTCCTCAGCAGGTTCTAGACTTTACCTTCAAGGTTATCTTTTGCCATAGGTTAATTACTATTTCTATAATGTAGCCTCAGATTTGTAATTTCCAGCTCAAATATCCTTAGTGCCTACTTTTGCTAAAAGAACAATGTCTAAACCCTAGTCCAGCCCACACTGATTTCTGTGCTCTTGTTTTATTTTTCCATATTTCTTTCCTAATTGTCTCTTCATACACTGTATACATAATAAAAACACACGTTTTGTACTAAGATGAAGTTATTCATAGTTCCTATGTATGCCTTTACTTTTCTAATCTCAACCTATTTTATAAATGTCTCCTGTGAACCTAGGATCCTTTTTCAAATTCTATTCATCCCTTACGACCAAGGTCACATGTCACCTATTCTATGGAGCTGACACTGAACTCCTCAGAAGTAAGTAACATTCTTTGTTCTGAAATTTTATAGAAAATTTCACTCTCTATTTTATAGAACTTGTTATTTGGTACTTAAAATATATTTAGGTGAATATTTGTTTCCTCTTAGAATGTGAAGGATCCTTAAAAGTAGATTCTTGTGCAGTTTCCCTTTGTAAGTTCTACTGTGCCTGGTATAAAGGCTTTAAACATAATAGATGTCCAAATAGTTTTTGAGTAGAGTAATTCATTAATATTTAGTAGCTTCAGAACTGTGAGGTTTGTATAGAAGACTATATAAAGGACTCATATGAACCTTACTGATAATCATTAAAGCAAAGTTATTTTGTGGAATAATATGCCTTGTTTCATAAATTGCATCAGTGGTTTTCCAGCTCTTCTCTACAGTACCTTTGGGATTCTACAGACATGATCCAGGGCACTTCCTACTTAAAAAGGGGAGGTGCCACATTTTGTATATTGGCCTTTTGTGTAAGACTTTGCTTGGAGAAACGATTCATTATTTAAGAAAACTTTTTTTTTTTTTTTTAGAGAGAGAGAGAGAGAGAGAGAGAGAGAATATTTAATACTTATTTTTTAGTTTTTCGGCGGACACAACATCTTTGTTTTGTATGTGGTGCTGGGGATCGAACCTGAGCCGCACGCATGCCAGGCGAGCGCACCACTGCTTGGGCCACATCCCCAGCCCAAGAAAACTTTTTGAAATCCCCTGGGGTTCCACCATGGGGGCACTTTGATTCTACCTTTGTTTCAAGTCTCTATTTCTCATGAAAGCCTCTTCACATGAAAACTAGGTAAACAAGCTGCTCTAGTTTGGCTGAATTCACTAATTCCAAAATACCAAAATAGTAGCACAAAGTAGTACTTCAAATAGGGTCCTCCTCTAACAAGTGACTTTGTATGAGACATGACAGTTTTTAGGAGTCAATGAGCTTAATTCTTGATCTGACCTTCCTTACCTGGAAAGTACAATCATGTGTTTGCTTAAGAATGAGGATATGTTCTGAGAAATGGATTTTTAGGGGTGATTTTGTCATTGGGCAAACATCACAGAGTGTACTTATATGAACCTAGATGATATAAGTCAATCACTAAATATGGTCTCTTGATGCATGAGATGCAGTAAACATGAGATATATGAGGTCTGCTGTCAGCATAACATGCCATATTGTTTTACAGTAATTTTTTTAATAAGTCAAAGTGGTAGTTTAAAATAATAACAAAAAGTATAATACCAATACTTAAACCAAGAATGTAATTGCTAAATTATCATTATCAAAATGATAATTGTGCTATACTTGAGCTATACTTTTCTACACTTGCAATATTATAGGTTTTTCACATTAGTACTGCCACAAACTTGAGTAACATGGTGCACCACTTTACCATGGCTGCAATGTCACTGAGCTATAATAATTTTTCAGCTCCATTATAATTTTATGGGACCTCGGTTCCACTGTCATGAAAACACTGTCATGAAGCACATGATTATAGTTTGTTGGCACATCTTACAAGCAGTACTCTTTCTGTATATTCTTTCTAGATTTGGAAGATGCCTGAGAAGCAGTTTTATATAGCCTTCTATTTTGGTAAAAGACAAAACTTTCTATTGCCTGGGCTTATGATAGATAGCCCATTCCTTGTTCACAGAGTAGGGAGAAAATACTGATCTGCAGTAAATCTAAAATTTATCTTTATTGAATCTATCTTAGGCTACTAGTCAGTCAGACAATTCTAAGTTCATTATTAGGGAAAAAAAATACCTGTTCAAGTCACGGTGTATAATTGGCTGTGTCAGGTTGTGAAGGTATTCCATACCTTTGGCAACATCTACTGCAATAATTAATTTAGACTGCAAATCAAGAATCCTAAAATTTAAAAATAGATTCAGGTGAAGGAAAAAAGACAAAACCAATGCTATATCTTTTAAAAGAAATCAAGGTATATATGTTTTTTTTTCTGTGTAATTTTAGTCTATTTTTTATTAATTGAAGGTTATATGAAAAGTTTAACAAATCTGGAAAAGTAACTTTTCTATCTCAGAAAATGCTTAATTATAGGTCAACTCAGGTATACAATACGTTTCATTTAAAATATTGTACTTGATTTTCTAATTTATTTGCAATATATTTAAATTCTTTGTAATAATGTAATGATCTATTTTAATAACTGCATGAAACCACATTCTAATTACTGTATGCATAGATCTAGGAAATAAATTCAAATTAGGCTTGTGAAAGATCATTTCTTTTTAAAACTTCCTTATATGGTGATCTTGGTAATTATTTTCTTCTGAGTTTACACATATCTGCTTTATTGGTATGTCAAATAGCATAATAATGTTTCAGTTGCCAGTTTAAATTCTTTGAATTTGTTACCTTCAACTGAATTCCTATTAATAAGTCACAGAAATATTTCTATTCCTTGAAATACAATAATTAGTCATAAATTATTAGCCATATTTAATGCACACTCACTAGTATTCAGAAGTTTCCAAAGGTGAAGGTTCATGCAATCAGAAAGCCTCAGAAATGCCTCAGGATAATTTCAATGCCATTTTGAAAGCCATGTTCAAGTATAAGGCAGAACAAGAGACTCATACCTCTTTTGCTCATGAAGGAGGGAAAATAGAGAACCTCCTGATATGTACTGAGTGACGATGGCAAATTGGCTGGGATCATTCAAGCAAGCACCCACAAACTGAATTACACAGGGATGATTGAGCTGGCAGAGAATGGACACCTCTCTGCAAAACATATCCACATCTGATTTGGAGCAGTAAGTGTTGGCCCGATAACTAGAAATGGCAGCAAGAGGAAATACTCATTAATTGAGGAATCCAACAAGAGGTTTGCTGTGTATATAGTTGTCAAAGCTCACCACTCTACCTAAATGGTAATTTTTTTCATTTGTTTGCTTACCGTTTTATAGCCACTATTTTATTTCTGCATCGTCCTTTATATACTTTCCCAAAAGATCCTAAAATTATTTAAAATAAATAAATAAGTACATATTATCTTGAGTTCATTTTAACTAAAGTAGACCTGTAGTTTCTTAGGTTACCTGAGCCAATAATCTCATGGAACTCAATTTCTGAGAGTTGAAGATGGAAATGTGAAGGCAATCCAGCCCGTAGGAGGAGAACATCAGCTTTCTCTGCAAACAGAAATTGTCATTATACTTTTTAATATTTAAAAGCACACATGTGAATATGTACTACACACACACACACACACACACACACACAGGACATGGCATCCCTGGGGTACAGTTTATATAACATCTTGATAAAGTTCTTATCTGGTCAATCCTTTCAACTGCTATCAATAGGTTAAGTTAAATATCAATAAACTAAAACTCAAAAGGATGCAAATTAAATGACAGAAAACAAGCACTTCAAGTATCTAAAGAAATACCCAAACTAAAAAATGTTTTTAAAAGATTGAATATTCCAAATAGTTAAATGTAAATCTATAATTTAATAATATTTTATACCCTTCTGGTCCAGTGGAATTAATTTTGGTTTATAGCAAACATTCAAAAAGAGTTCCCAAATTATTACTTATTTTTGGAAAAGAGTTATTCTTTTGCTAATTTTTCCCTAAGGTACATCCATTCCCAATTCTTCTAAAATAAATATTAGTATTTGTAATTTATATTTTATTAAAAATACAAATATTCACAAAGCATTATGAGAATTGATGCACTTCAAAACTCATAAAATGTTCACTGTCATATCTTAATGAACTTAAAAGGCATAAAAGATAAGGTTAATCATGAGAAGGATGATCTGTTGATAATATTGCTTATGCTTATAAAATAGTCATTATTCATAATATGTTAAACAAAATAGAATGTTTTCATATTTAGGCAATAATTATCCTGAGTAATAAAATACAAGAGTTTTCCCATTTACAAGTACCTTTTGTGATGCTTTTAATCTTCCCCAATGGGGATGGAACAGACACATAGGAGCCATCTAGAAATCAAATTATATAATAGAGTTGAAAGTAGCAATCATTTTTTCTACATAAAAGTTCAACATTATAAAAATAAATAGGTGATGAAACCAAGAAAAACTATAGCCTAAGGCCCAAATCTATTCTCTGGATACTGAAACTGTACTACAAGTGTTTATTTAGAAAGCGCATAAAAAGATTAAAAAGAAATCCAATTTGTAGCAGACTCCAACAGATTTAATTTGTGTCTGGCTATGAGTATCCTCTGCCCTGCCATAATAGATAACTGAAATGGAAAATGATCCTTCTCAGTTTACTCGGGCCTTACTACTCTTGTCCAAGCCTCATACACATCCAGTCAGGTAAACTTAAACTTGGAGAAACTGTGGATTAATGAGAGTTAGAAAATAGCCTAAATGGAAGCTGCTACTACTGCTTCTTCTTCTTCCTTTTTTTTTATTTTTTAAAATTTGCTCTAATTAGTTATACATGACTGCAGAATGCACTTTAATTCATTGTACATAAATTGAGAACAATTTTTCATTTCTCTGGTTGTATACAAAGTAGAGTCACACCATTAGCACAACCATACATGTACGTAGGGTAATAATGTCCATCTCATTCCTCAATCTTTCCTAGCCCCATACCACTTCCCCACCCTTCTCCCCTTTGCCTTATCTAAAGTTCCAAATGGAGGCTTCTTTAAATTCGTTCTCACATAGATAATTTTTTTTTTCTGAAAATAAGGTTAATCTGACAAAGTCTATGCTCTCCCACTATCCCCAGAATGATAATAACAGAAACACAGGTTTGCCTTTAGGCACGGTTTGTACAGCAATGAAACTTGAATAAAAAACGATGGTACCTCCTCCAGGCTGAGAATATTCATTACAGGGCAGTTCATCCTGGGGTCTCTTATAATGCTTCAGGAGTGTGACAATGGCATCATGGCCTTAATGAAAAGAAAAAAGAACAAAGAATCTTAATTTCAGCTTGATTTATTCATTAAACCACTGGTCCAAAAAATGATTGGAGGTAGCTTAAAAAGAACACATATCTTAAGGGACAATATGCTGCAACAAAAATTTAGTATCTTTATTCATTTATTAAAAATAATTTATTAGGATGACTGTATGTGAGGCACTGTGGTGGGTAAATGATACAATAAATGAGGTAACCATGGTCCTACCCATAAGAAGCTTACAATGCAGTTGAACAAATAATTATAGGAATAATGAGAATTTCTAAATGAGGAAATAATATAATAAAGGCATGGTTAAAAGGGTTCAAAACACATGTGGTAACTATATTTGCTGTGATTGTGCATTACATTTGGCTGACAGTTCCAGTAAGGCACAGTGCTAAAATAAATAACATGCATTTCTGTAGTGCAAACAGCTGACTACCCATAGATTTTGTAGTCCTCTTTTGCAGGGTTATTTTGTCCCTGGGAATGGCTGCCTACCCAGGGACAAAATTTCCATCTGACCCTCATATAACTGTGGCCTTGTGACATATCCTCACCAAGGCAGTATAAGCAAAAGTGATATCACTTCCAAATCTGAAATTTAGGTTGCAGTCCATCCTTCTTTACTTCTCCTATCTGCTGGCTGGATGCAGAGAATTCTGAGGTTCTAGGGGTTGAGAGAAAGTCATCTACTGAGGGGAATTGCCCATCCTGGAATGTTAAGAGATTAAGAAACACCACTGACAGTCTGGAGTTTATTAATTGCAGTAGGAACTTATTATTGTGAAAGATAAAAAATGTTAAATGCTCGTCTGAGTAAACTATTGATTTTCAATAGAATAAAACTTTGATAATCCTTTATGTTTTTGCTATAAAAACAATCTACTGAAGCTAAATTATAAAAGAGAAAAACCATCAACCTTAAAGACCTTATCAAAAGACTTATAAAATACAATAAAATCCATTGTAAAAATGGCAGACTTTAGAAATTGGAAAAGCACAGTACTTTGATCAGCCAATGACTAGCTAATGTGTAAAGTATATGCTGGCAGTAGTACTTGCTTATCAAGGACTCACTTCAAAGATTTTGAATGAATTGTATATGTAACATCACGAGATAGAAAAATTACCACATTTACTGGCACTAAAAGTTTTCCCAAAGGTAATATCCCAATATCACAATTTTTAAGAAATAAAAAAGTATTGTGATCACAAATGAAAAAAAAACTTACAGCAAAACTTACATATAAGCTATCTACATAGTTAATAACTCATGTCCATTTTGTTATCATCTTTAGCTTTCTATTCATGACTGATTCTTTTTCTTAAATCATAAACATAGGTAATGCTGAAATAATGGGGACCAGTTGCATGAGCACTGTTTATTTAAATTCTTGTGTGTTCATGATCAGGAAAAACTCAAGAACCTGAATAGCATGAGCCAACAGACAAGCCTAAATAGGTAGAGATAACAGACAATACAAAAGCCTGAAAAATAATCAAACTTGCCATGTTCAAGAAATGAAGAAGTCCAGTGTGGTTGCAGTATGACAAAGCAAGGATGACAGTGGTATGCCTCTATATGGAGTGGCGCTTTTCAAACTCTTAGGGTGTGTAAGAATCACTTGGAGGGTTAGGCATGTAGCTCAGTGGTAGAGTGCTTGCCCACCTGATGTGAAGCCCTGGGTTCAGTACCAACCCCCAGTCACGCAGTTCTCACCAAAAAAAAAAAAAAAAAAAAAAATCCTTAGAATACAAGTCAAAACACAGATTCCTGAGTCCTATCTTTAGAGATTCAGTTTGAAAATGTCTGTAGTAGGGTGTGAGTGTTGCTTTTCTAACAAGGTCCTTAATGATGTAGAGATTTATAGGTTAGGGTCATAGCTTGAATTTTGGTATAGATAAGATGGGGAACCACTGAAGGGTTTTAATTGAAGAAGATCGGAAGAGCGGTTCAGCAGTCAAAACACAGATTCCTGAGTCCTATCTTTAG